CACACACACACACACACACACACAAATTGTGGCATGGAAAACCCTGGTAGGGCATGGGTGAGGACCACAGAAAGCTACAGTAAGGGCCAGCCCCACTGCCCTAGTTTCATTTCTGTTGCTATGATAAACACCATGATCAAAAAAGCACTGGGGAGGAAAGGTTAATTTGGCTTACGTTTCCAGGTAACAGTCATCACTGAGGGAAGTCGAGGCAGGAACCTGGAGGCAGGAACTGAAGCAGCCACCATGGAAGAACGCTGTTTATTGGCTTGCTCACTGATTCATCCTCAGCTAACTTTCTTATCAAGAAAGTCCAGGCCCACCTACCTGGGGATGGCACCGCCCATAGTGGGCAGGCCCTTCAACATTAATCAAGAAATTAATGCCTCACAGACACGACACAGGCCAATCTAATCCGGGAAATTCCTCTATTAAGGTTCCCTCTTCCCAAGTGACTCTAGGTTGTGCCATGTTGACAGTAAAAATTACCACCACCCATGAAACAGCAAGGTGACATTATTACTGGGTGGTCTCAAGGTAGGACCACCTTTCCAGTGGGTTTGTAAGGCAACACAGCAATCCAGAAAGGACCGTGCCCAAGACTCATGGGATTTGCTTGACTAGGTGTTTTAGTCTTGATGCTGTAACAAAATTCTAGACAAAAGCTACTTGAGGGAAAGGTTTCTTTGGGTTCACAGTTTGAGGGTGCGGTCCAGCATGGTGGGGAAGTCAAGTAGCAGGAGTGTGAGGCACCTGGTCACAGTGCACCCAGTCAGGAAGCCAGGAGAGAGGAATGCTGGTGCTCAACTAGCCTCTTCCTTTTTATCCAACCGGGGACCCCAACCGTGGGATGGTAGGTCTTCCCTTCTAGAAAGACCCTCCTAGACACACCCAAAGGTTTGTTTCCACAGTGATTCTAAATCTAGTCAGGCTGATGAGGAAGCTTAACCATCATACAAGACTTCTTACTTGGGACCTGTCACTTTTCTTCATTGTTTTTTCATTTTGGAATGAGAGCATCGATCCCCACCTGTCCCACCTTTGTATTTTTATATCTTGTTTGGCTCCAGAGGTTCTCAGCTGGGGAGTAATGTTACCTCAAGCTATACCTTGAGTCTTACCCATACTTAGTTTATGGTTGCTGGATTTTCTTTTGTCTCAGGGATGATGTTGCGTGACACTGTTTCTGGGGAGATGTGAACAAACATCTATTCCCTTAGGTGGGGAATCAATGACAGACCAAAGTAAGGACACCACCAAAGTCCAACTTGACAAATCAATGACTTTTATTGGGGTTACTTAGAGCAGAAATGATTCAAAGACAGCTGCATCACCAAAAGCCCACCCCAGCATGGATGACAGCTCATGAAAGCTGGAAACCTGGAGCCCACTGCACAACCTGCAGACAGATCAATAGGTTGGAGCGCCTCTTTTCCAGGCAGTTTGGCTTGTATAGTAGTCCCTCAGCAGTCCCTGGGGCTTATATATGCTTGGGGAGGGAGGAAACCTAGTGAATCTGGTCAGTCTTTCAGGAACTTCCTGAAGCTATTGAGTTGTTTGCCTTCCTTTAGAACATCCTGTTGTTTACTGAGCTTCCTTCCAAGAGGGAAGTTTTCTGTCTCAGGGGAAACCTACTCAACAGATGGGCATCCATCCCAGGGACTTGGGCATGTCAGGCCCTCTGCCACTAACCATCTTGCCCTCCACACTTGATTTCAATGAGACTTTAGGGATGAAGCTTGGACAAGTAAAGGCTTTTATGCTGTTTGGATGTATTGAATGTGGTTTTCATGTAAGGGAACTAATTTGGGAAGGGGAGGGCTCTCCAGTGGAAAAGTACCATGGACTGAATGTATCCCCTAAATTCACATATTGGGGAAGTGCTATCCCCAATATGATAGTATTAGGAGGAGAGGAGGCCTTTGGAAAGTTTCTACCGCAGGTGGATCCCTCATAAATCTGGACCCTTTTCGAGGAGCCCATGGACAACACCCTCCCACTCTTTCTTGAACGTGGTCAAAGCCCAGAGGGCCTCCCCAATGCCTGCCCTGCCCCTGACCTCAGACAGTCTCCAGAGCTATGAGATAAATTCCCATTGTACAGAAGCCACCCACCACCACCACCATCACTAAGCCCACCCCACCTCTGGTAGTTAATTATGACAGCCTGAACAGGGACCAGAATGGTCAGGATGGAGATGGTGTAGAGAGAAAAGGCAGAGGAGAACAGCATCCAGGAGACAGAGTCAAGAAGGCAGGTGCAGGGCTTGCAAAGAGGGTCAGATGGTTGCCTGTCAACTACCAGAGGTCTTAAGAGAAATGGGGGTCTTGGGGAACCCAGCTGGCTCTCAGCCACCTCCAACACTCTTTCCTTGAGTGAAGGAGCAGTGGGGACAACTTGACCACTGCAACCTGGGATTGGCAGATCTCTTCTGTCTTAGTTCCATTTCTGTTGCTATGAAATACCCTGACCAACAACAGCTTAGGAGAGGGTTTGGGCTCACAGTTCCAGGGCACAGTCCAGCACAGCAGGGAAGTTAAGGCAGAACCCAGGAGTAGAGAGTCACATCCCTTCCACAGTCAAGAGCAGAGAGACGGAATGCTGGCTCAGCTCATTATCTCCACTCCTTCAATTAACTAATGGAGACAGTTCCCCACAGACATACCCACAGGCCAACCTGACCTAGACAATCCCTCGCTCAGGCTTTCTTCCCAGGTGATTCTGTTTTCAAATTCTATTCAGTAATTAAAACTATCACCCCTTCCCAGCAAAACAATCCTCCCCTCATCTAAACGTCCTTCTCTTGCCTACCCAGCCCTATCTCCATGCCATCGCAAAAGAATGAGCAAAGTCAACCAACGAGCATAGCTGCCTCCAAACCGCAGGAACCAGTTCATCTAAACCAGTGCCCACCGGTAGGGGTAGAGGGGGAGGTGCTGAAGAAGCCTCTGCACCCCGCCCCCCAGGTATCCCCAGAATCAGCTCCAGCAGTTGTCTGCAGATGAAGGCCGCTATCACCTGGACGCCCACCAAGGGGCGCAGGCTGGCCTCCAGCTAAGGACGGAGGCAACAGGCCCCCTCGTTCCCATAATGGATTTCCTAGTGTGCCTTGGCCCACGCTCACCTCCAGGAGATGGCGGAGCGGAGCTTGCTTCCCCCTCAGTCCCCTCCAGTCGCCTACTTCCCTCGCTTATCTGCGAGTGAACTAAACTAGCGACCAGGAAGATGCAGCTCCCAAGAGTCCATGGAACCAGCAGGAAAATCAGGCAGAGGTTTCAGGGAACCTTGCTTTTCCCTTTGAGCGAAAGGTCCGCCACGGTCTGCTGGATAGACAGCCCCCGCCACCCCTCAGGAAGACTTCCACACTGGTCTCCCACCCTGTGGGTCAACCATGCAAGGTGGAATCTCTGCCTTTCCTCCACCCCGGATCAGAGTGCCTCAGTTCATACACTCGAGAGGCCAGGCTGAGATGACACAGGCGGGATCCGGGAGGTGCCACCGTGCCGCGGACTGCAGAGGAAGAAGTTCGAGGGATGCGACCGAGGGTCGCCTCGCACGCGCCTTCCAAGGAACCGGGGCGGAGCGGCGACAACCGGCCCCCAGGCGGGAAGGGGCAGCCGGTGGGGTCAGCTCGCGTCCCGCTGTCCCGGCGTCCCCAGGCGCCCAGCGGCCGCGGAGGAGGCGCGCACGGCGGGGCGCCGAGTCCGCGCAGGGAGTCACCGCCCCCTGGCCCGGGCGCC